TCCCGAACCTTCTCCACAAGGTTCCCCAAAGCCCCCCAGACTCCTGGAGGACCTCCACCCCGCTCGTCCCGCCGGTCCCGGAGCAGGGCACTCACGCAGGCCCATCTTGGCCAGGTGCAGCCGGTTCACCCAGCAGATCTTGCTCAGGGGGCTGGGCGTGATGAACACCACCATGACGCTGATGGGGCGGCCGGACCTGCGGGACACGGCGGCCTTCAGCCTCGCCGCCATCCTCCTCCTCATCTCCATCCTCATCCTCACCTTCAGCCTCGCCGCCATCCTCCTCCTCATCTCCATCCTCATCCTCACCTTCAGCCTCACCACCATCCTCCTCCTCCCCATCCTCCTCCTCATCCTCCTCCTCACCTTCAGCCTCGCCACCACCATCCTCTTCCTCCCCATCTTCCTCCTCATCGTCGTTATCGTCATCCCCATCCTCCTCCTCATCTTCAGCCTTACTCCCATTGTCATTGTTATCATCCTCCTCCCCATCTTTGTCCTCCTCATCTTCATCCTCACCCCATCATCCTCCTCCTCCCCATCCCCATCCCAATCCTCCTCCTCACCTTCAGCCTCGCCTCCATCCTCCTCCTCCCCATCCTCCTCATCGTCGTTATTGTCACCCCCATCATCCTCCTCATCTTCATCCTCATCCCCATTATCCTCCTCCTCATCCTCATCCCCATCTTCATCCTCCTCATCATCATGATCTTCATCCTCACCCTCCTCCTCATCTTCATCCTCATCCCCATCATCCTCCTCATCTTCAGCCTTACTCCTGTTATCATTGTTATCATCCACCTCTTCATCTTCATCCTCACCCCATCATCCTCCTCCTCCCCATCCTCATCCCCATCCTCCTCCTCATCTTCAGCCTTACTCCCATTGTCATTGTTATCATCCTCATCCCCATCTTCGTCCTCCTCATCATCATTATCCTCACCCCATCATCCTCCTCCTCATCGTTAACTCCCATCATTCTCCTCCTCCTCATCTTCATCCTCACCCCCATCATCCTCCTCCTCATCTTTGTCCTCATCCCCATCCTCGTTATCATCCTCAACCCATCTTTGTCCTCCTCCTCATCGTTAACTCCCATCATTCTCCTCCTCCTCATCTTCATCATCCTCATCTTCATCCTCCACACAATCATCCTCCTCCTCATCTTCATCCTCAACACAATCATCCTCCTCATGCCCATTGTTCTCCTCCTCCTCTTCCTCATCCTCTTCTTCCTCATGATCTTCATCCTGCTCTTCATCCTGCTCCTCCTCTTCTTCCTCATCCTTCCCCTCATCCTCCACATCTTCCCCCTCCCCCTCTCCCTCATCCTCCTCTTCCTCTTCCCCAACTTCTTCCTCCTTCTCCTCCTCCCCCTCCCCTTCCTCATCCCCATCCTCCTCATCTTCATCCTCATCCCCATCATCCTCCTCATGCCCCACTGTTCTCCTCCTCCTCTTCCTCATCCTCTTCTACCTCATGATCTTCATCCTGCTCCTCCTCTTCTCCCTCATCTTCCACATCTTCCCCCTCTCCCTCACCCTTCTCTTCCTCTTCCTCCTCGCCATCTTCTTCCTCCTCCCCTTCCTCCTCCTCCTCCTCCTCCTCCTCCCCGCGGCTCCCGGCTCACTTGTCGGGTTTCCCGGGCAGCAGCAGCCGCAGGCGGCACTTGTTGGCCGAGTGGATCTCCTCCTCCTTGACCTTCATCATCCTCTGCAGGGCCAGGCACCAGTCCTGGGCCACCGTCATGTTCAGGTTCTGGAGAAGGTCGGGAGCCTCCCTCAGAGCCGGGACCAGCCCGGATCCCGGATCCCAGATCCCGGATCCCAGATCCCAGATCCCGGATCACAATCCCCGATCCGCCGGCGCGGGCGGTACCTGGTAGGTGCCGTGCAGGGTGCTGACGAGCAGCGTGATCTGCTCCACCACCGCCAGGTCCTTCTGCAGGTCCTGCAGCTCCTGGAAGAGCCGCGGGGGGCCCAGGTAGACCTTATCTT